GTCCCCAGGTCAGTGACGGTGATGGTGATGTTGTACTCGGCCTGGCTCTCTCTGTCCAGTGGTAGCTCTGTTACCAGGGTGTAGAAATTCTTGAAGGTAGGCTTCAAGAGAAAAGGGAGGTCATCCTGAATGGAGCACACCATCCTCCCGTTGTCCCCAGCATCTTGGTCTCGTACGCTAAAAATAGCGACCACCATTTCAGGTGACGAATTTTCAGGTATGGGGCTGGTAAGAGATGTCATGACTATTTCTGGTGCGTTGTCATTCACATCCACAACCTGAACTAAAATTGCTGATTTTCCGGAAAGGCTACCCCCATCAACGGCCTGAATATTTATTGTATATGACTGAATTAACTCGAAATCCAGAAGCGCTTTTAAATGGATTTCACCAGAAATTGGGTGGATTTCAAATGTTTTCCGTATGTCTGTGGAGACGTGGGAAAATGAGTAAGATAGTTCTCCATATATTCCCGCATCCAAATCTGTAGCAGACACCCGGACGACCAGGGAGTCCACAGGGCTGTTTTCTGGTACCTGAACCTCATAGACAGGCCTCTCGAACTCTGGAGCATTGTCATTGATATCTAAAACCAAAACACGAACCAGTGTGGTTCCAGACCTGGGCGGAGACCCGCCATCCAAGGCTGTTAGCGTTAATCTAAACTCGGGCTCCTTTTCTCGATCCAAAAATTGGTCCAGTAACAGCTCTGGGTATTTTCTGCCGTCATCACTGGCTTGTAATTTAAGGTGGAAATAAGGATTGGGACTTAATGTATAGTTTTGGACACCATTCTTTCCTACATCCAAGTCCTGAGCGCTGTCCATTTGGAATGAGGTTCCTGGAGCAGTACTTTCTGAGATTTTCAGAAGTATGTGTTTGTCTAGGAAGGCAGGAGTATGATCATTTATGTCTTTAACCCAAAGTTCAGCCCGAAAAAATTGTAAAGGATTTTCAAATAATACCTGGAAATGCAATATACATGGCTCTGTGAGATGGCAAAGTGCCTCCCGGTCGAGTTGCTCATTTACAAGCAAGTTGCCAGTCTGCTGATCCAACAGTAAATATGGTTTATAGTCGTCAAAGATGACTTTTGCCCCCCGTGCAACCAAATCTTCCACACCTAAACCTAGGTCTTTCACCACATTGGCTATAACGGAGCCGATCTCCACTTCCTCTGCCACAGAATAGCGCCAGGGCTCTGAACACACCAAAGACCCTCCCAGGAAAACAAAGAAAAGCAGCACTTGCCTTATTCGCTGATGGCGCCTCTCTCTTGGCTCCATGGCTCCTTAGCCAAACGTGTTTCTGCAGAAATGTTTCAACTCAGCCGCAAACAGCTTCTAAATTGCTCCTCTCATCTATCAGCCTGGACCACTGGGGATCTATAGACTTGTAATCCTGTCACGAGGGTGTTGTTGGCTCCCTAGCTTTCTCTTGAAACCCTCTTTTCCCCTTCCTGCTTCTCCTGTGCTCTCAGTTCCACTGATTAATGGAGACCAGAGCATTGGATAGTACAAAAAAAGTCCCCATCTTATCCTGCAGCGCCACCACGCGACTCTGCAGCTTCTCAGGTTTTAAACAGTCAAATAAGTTTGGGACAAAATATTAATTTATTTTGTGCATTTGTTGATTAATTTAAATTACACTTTCTCCGGGGCACCTGGGTGGCTCAGTCGTTAAGCGTCTGCCTTCGGCTCAGGTCATGATCCCAGGGTCCTGGGATTGAGCCCCCGCATCGGGCTCTCTGCTCAGCGGGAAGCCTGTTTCTCCCTCTCCCACTCCCCCTGCTTGTGTTCCCTCTCTCGCTGTGTCTCTGTCAAAAAATAAAAAAAATCTTGGGAGGGGGTGGGAGGATGGGTTAGCCTGGTGGTGGGTATTGAGGAGGGCACATTCTGCATGGAGCACTGGGTGTTATGCACAAACAATGAATCATGGAACACTACATCTAAAACTAATGATGTAATGTATGGGGATTAACATAAGAATAAAAAAAAAAGAAAAGAAAATCTTTAAAAAAAAATTGAACAAACTAGATCCCAGTTTAGTTGTAGAAAACATCTATTTTGCAGACCCAGGCCTTCCAGGGGCATAATCATAAATATTTTATTCATCCATTCATTACTTTGTCTAGCAAATATTTATTGACCATATACTTGTGCTAGGAATGGTAGTGTTAGGAATAGAGTGGTAAGCAGTTTCTGTCCTGAGAGATGGAGGCAGAAAGTGATTACACATTTAAAAATAGAACATAATGAGGGATGCCTGGGTGGCTCAGTCAGTTAAGCATCCAACTCTTTATTTCAGCTCAGGACATGATCTCAGGGTCATGAGACCCTGCTGAGCATGGAGCTTGCTTAAGATTCTCTCCTTCCCTCTTCCTCTGCCCCCCCAAAAACAAAAATAAATTAAAACTTAAAAAAAATGGAACATAATGAATACCATGATAGCAAAAGTTCATGCTATTCTAAGAGCATAGATAAGGGTCATCTAACCAGCATTTGGAAGTACAGAAAAGACTTTTCTGGAACAAAAAATGGGTGTTGGGTAAAATTTCCAGATAATCCCAAAATATGATTGTGCAAATCTGAGCTGAGAGAAGTGTTTTTGGAAGAACTGAAATAGGATCAATATGGCTAAGCCATAGAGCAAGAGGTAAGAAATAAGAAATGAGATTGGAGAGATAAGCAAATAATTTTGTAAGCCCTTCCAAGGCATTTGGAACTCTACATCAATGGAAATGCAAGATTATTAAAGGCTTTTAAATAGAAAAGGAGATGACATTGACCTCAACTAGAAATGCAGTAATAGTCTTATATTAAAATGATAAAGATACAGGATGTGGTGACAGATTAGACATGGAGGGAGTGGGATAAGAGGAAGTGAAAAGAAATGTACCTTTTTTTCAGGCTCAGGGAACTAAGTGAGTGTTGATGCTATTAACTAATAGAGGAAACAGGAAAAGGAGAAGAGAGGAAGAAGTATAGAGCTGGAAAGAATGTTTAGTTTTAAGGAAGGGAGCATTTAAATTTAAAACATGTTGAGTTTGAATTGTCCATAGAGCATCCCATATAAATAGTTATATAAATGATCTCCCATTACATAAATGAAATTGAGAAAAGAGGTTTGAGCTGCAGAGACAAATTTAGGATTTATTGGTATAAATGGTGGTTGTAGCCCTTCAAGAAAGAAGGTAAGTTGTAAATTAAGAGGAGTATGCTTGATTTTGTGATTTCAGAGATGATGTAGCTCTAAGAGACTACCATCTCCAGAAAGTGGCCATGGTCTTAGGTGACTAAGACTAGAGTATAAGTGAATGTCACCAGAGAAGAAGAAGGCTAGAAACAGAGATAGGTCAAACTCCTAGACCCAGAATTGTGGCAAAGGATAGACAGAGTAAACCTGTAAGAAGTTATATTTGAGAAATCAAATGTCTTCACACCACTTCTCTCCTATGATCTTGTTTAATTTAAAGCCAAATTGATATCTCTCATTTGATTCTCTCATTTGATGACTCTTAAGGCAGGAAGATTTTCTAATTTCTTTCAGCATATTGAAGATATCTTGCTTTTAATTTCCAGTGCTACTGTTGAGAAATTGTCAGCATGGAACATAGCTGTCTGTCTAACTGCCATGTGTTTAAAGATTATATGTCTTTTCCGTATGCCTTTTCATTTAAAAAATTCTCTTTGTTTTTGGCTTTTTGAAACTACACAATGATGTTTCCAGGCATGTTTATCTTTTATTTATCCTGTCAGGTTTATCTGAGTCTCTTGAATCTGTGTGTTGACATTTTAATCAATTTTGGAAAAATCTCATATATATATATGAATTTTTTTTTAAGTAGGCTCCACGCCCAACATGGGGTTTGAATTCATGACCCTGAGATTAAGAGTCGCATGCTCCAATGACTGAGCCAGCCAGGTGACCCTACAATATTTTTCAAATATTGCTTCTGATCCTGTCTTAAACTTTTTACTCTGTCCTATATTTCTAACCATCTCCTCCATATTTTTTCATCTTCCAAATTCTCTCAGCTGTATGCTAGATATATTCTGACCTTTCACTTCACAAATTATTTATTCAGTTATATCTACTTTCTCATTAAACCTTTTATTCAATTTTGATTGAATTTAAGTTTTGGTTCTATTTTTTAGATCTAGGAGTTCTATTTGGTTCTTTTTTTTTTCCCTCAAGATTTTATTCATTTATTTGACACAGAGAGAGAGCACAAGAAGGGGAGCGGCAGGCAGGGGGTGGGGGAGAGAAGCAAGCTCTCAGTTGATCAGGGACCTCGATGCAGGGCTTAAACCCAGGACCCTGGGATCATGACCTGAGCCGAAGGCAGATGCCCAACTGACTGAGCCACCCAGGCGCCCCTATTTGGTTCTTTAATATTCTATCACATTTCTTACTCTCTTTACATCTTTAAGCATAACTTTTATTTCAATTAAAGTGTTTAGCATATTATTAGATTATGTCTGCTAATTAAAATGTTTGAAGTATATTTCTGTATTCTGATTTTTTTTCTGTTGGCTCTCACTCATGGTGTCATGTTTCCTTGTGTATTCAGCTATCTTTGTGGTCAAGTTAAGAATATAAAACTTATTTATATGAATATTTTTAGCCTTAGGTTGAACTTTCTTTTATAGAAGGCCTGCATTTGGTTCCATCAGAATCTGGAAGCACTACTTTTGTCAACAACCATGTTAAATCAAGTTCAGTGCTAAAAAATCAAATCCAGGGCTGAAATTCCACACAAGAGTTCATCCATTTCCCATTTACTTTCACCTTAAAGGAGTAGTTCTTAGGGATCCATATTTATTAATGCAAGGGTCTTCTATGAACTTTACTTTGTTATGCTTTTATTTCCTCCCTTATTATATAAACCATCAAAATAGAGGTTTACACTTCCCAGGATTCCAAATATTCTAGGAAAAAAGTAGATTTTAAGCTCATTTATCTCTCTGGATTACCCTTAGACATTAATTGTGACCTGATAATATATTAGTGTCTTATCAGCTAATTGTTTTCAATGGAAGCATGGGTCTACACAATCTGTACCATCCTTACTACAAATAAGTCTCAATGAGACTTGTCTCAAAATTACAAGTAAACTCTTAGCTTTCTAGAGTATGGGCAATTGATCTCAAGAAGATAGAGAAATCATATGCATTTTTTACTGATCAATGCTAAATCAACCCTATAATGCTGCAATCAACTTAAACAATCTCTTCAAAGAGACAATTTCTGTCATTGACATTGGTATAGCTCCCACTTCTCTCTGCATTCTTTATTCTCCTATATATAAACACAACTTCTTTCCCACATCTGTTCCTTCTTCTCTCCTCCCAATATGTTTATTTATATACTTGTACAAATATAAGATATTATGTATTATATGGACATATACAGCACTGTACTATAAATCTTAGTATCTTTCTTCCTTTTAAAACATTTGGGATTTATCCATGTGGTTTTATATACACCTAGTTCACTCCTTTTGATAATACTGCATAATACACCTTCAGAAACATTTTCCACATTTCAGTTACCAGTTGCTTTACTGATGGATATGTAGGGTTGACTCCTATTCTTTGCTCTCCCAAGATGAACATTCTTATGCATATCATTTGTGAAGCTGTGAAAGAAATTATTTGGCTTATACACTTGAAACTAATATAACATTGTGTGTCAACTATACTTCAATTAAAAAAAAAAAGAATTTTCTGGCTTATATACCCCAAAGTAGAATTGCTGGATCACAGGGTATGTTCACTCTAAATTTCACTAAATACAATTAAAAATCTCTCAAGGTGGGCTGTACATGTGATTTCCTATTGTTCCACTTGATATTATGCAAATGTCTCATCTTTACTAATGCTATGGGTATAAAGTAGTGTCTTATTTTAGTATGTTTTTCACCAACTAATGAGGTCAAGCATCATTTCATGTTCTTTTCAGACTTCGTTTTCCCTTTTTTGAATTTCCTTTCCCTTTTATCCTTTAAAAAAAACCTTACTGGCTTTCTGACTTTTTGATTTTTGCTAATCTGCAACAGTTACTTGAATAATCTGAATATTAATCCTTCTCAGTTGAACTGCTCCAAGTAGCTTCTCCCTGCCTTCTGGCTTGCCTATGTTATCTTCTGGTTTTGAGGTAGTAATATTTGTCAATTTTTATCTTTATTGTTTGTATAAAGCTTTAAGAAATTCAAACTGATAGTAAGGTTATAAAGATATTTTTACCTAGGTTTATTACATTTTCTCAATTAAAATACTTTAACTTCACCTCTTAGATCCATAGAAAGTTTATTTTTATATGGCATGAGATGAGGATTTTCTTTATATAGTGAGCCAATTTTCCCAATAACATTTGCTAAGTGATATGTCTTGCCCCTAAACCCAGTGATTTTGACAACTCCTCTTTCACAACCACATTCTGTTATATAAGAGGATTTGACCCTGGATTCTGTTCTACAGGGTAGTCTACAAGTCTCTTCCTAAATTATTCAAATAGGATATTCTGTTTTTCTCTATTCTTTTCTTTTTAAAAAAGATTTTACTTATTTATTTGAGAGAGACAGAATGAGAGAGAGAGAGCACAAGAGGGGGAGGGTCAGAGGGAGAAACAGACTCCCCACTGAGCAGGGAGCCCGATGAGGGACTCCATGCGGGACTCAATCCAGGGACTCCAGGATCATGACCTGAGCCCAAAGCAGTCACTTAACCAACTGAGCCACCCAGGCTCCCCTATCTATTCTTTTTAAAAATGTTTATTTATTTGAGAGAGAGAGAGTGGGGAGGGGCCGAGGGAGAAAGAGGAGAGGGAGAGAATCTTCAAGCAGATTCCCTGCTGAGAGCAGAGCCTGACATGGGGCTTGATCCCTGGACCCTGAGATGATGACCTAGCTGAAATCAAGAGTCTTATGCCAAACCAACTGAGCCACCCAGGTGCCCCTGTTCTTATCTATTCTTTTTTTTTTTTAGATTTTTATTTATTTATTTGAGAGAGAGAGAGAGGATGAGACAGAGAGAGAGGATGAGAGAGAGAGAGAGCATGAGAGGGGGGAGGGTCAGAGGGAGAACAGACTCCCCGCTGAGCAGGGAGCCCGATGTGGGACTCGATCCCAGGACTCCAGGATCGTGACCTGAGCCGAAGGCAGACACTGAGCCACCCAGGCGCCTCTGTTCTTATCTATTCTTATTAGTGCATAAGAAGCATAAGATTTACTTCTTATGAGTCTGAGGGATTAAGAGGACCCAAACATTCTTTTTCAAGATTTTATTGTTTAAATATCTATTTATATGAAATTCTCACAGCCAGTAAGTATCTACTGCAAGACAAAATAAAACCAGTAAAAATTTCATGAAGAAAAAAAAAGATTCCTAGGGAAATTGGAATTTGTTGCACCCATTTCTCAATGTCAAATTCTATTTTATTACATCATCTAGCCTATAATATCTAATTTTATGAGAAAAATTACAAAATGTTAGGCAGACTAGTTATATATCCATGCTACATTATAGCTATGAAAATCTCTACCTATAATCTTCCATTAAACTGTCTACTTAAATATTAGGGACATAATCTGTAACACCCTAAGATATCTATAAGCCATAAATACAGACCCATTCCTTCTTTTGGATATCAGAGAGAGGCCACAAAGTATTAAGGATTACATATCGATGGAAAAGTGAACCTAATTCATTTCTTTAACATTCTGAATTTTCATTTCAATTTAAGAAGTTTTTATATGTACTCTTCTGATAGTTATTTTACTCAGAATGACACCATGAACTACGTTCTAGTTAAGTCATGAACAATATAAAATAATAGAAATTTAAACTAGTAAACAGGGTATCGAAGAAAACAAAATAGCCGTATCAAGGCCCATAGCATTATAAATTTCCTTCCCCATAAAGCATAACAACAACAAAGGAAAAATACTTAAGAAATCAATAATTTTCAATACGATCATTTTTATTTTGTCACAGTGAATTTTTGAAAAACACTATAAGACAAAAAGCAAGTAAATAAGGTTTCCTAGTACTAAATATGGAGAGTTATCTTTTTTTTTACACTTTATGATGAAAATGTGCGAAGTGAGTAGTACAACAAAAATCCAATATACTTTCACCCAGATCCAAAAGCATTTTTTATTTTTGCTTTCTGCTTTGATAAAATACCTAGAAGTAAGTTACATATATTGTGGCATTCGCTCTTAATACTGCAGTTTGTATCTCCAAATAATTAGTAACATTGTCTTGCCTAACAATGCCATTATCACAACAAAAAATTAGCAACAACTCCGTTAATATAACATTTTTGGCCAAACAATTAAAAAAAAAAAAAAGACAACACACAGATTACATTTCCACTTCATTATGGCCGCTCATAAAGATTTGTGAGGAGAGCGCGAGAAATGATAATGCATGCAATTATAGTACAACCTAATATCCATTACAGATTGGCAAAAAAGTATCCACACGTTGTCAAGAATAACAAAAGATTCAAAGTTTAAAATAAATTATTTTATTGAATGTTGAATCCAAAACTATTCCTAAAGTTCTCATTTACCCCTACATTTCTACCAGTGTCAGGGATTGGAAGGCTGGGGATAATGGGCTTGAGGAATTTGAATTCATTGGTCCCTGAGTCTCCCGTCAGACGCACCTCGTACTGGTAGCTGTGCGACAG